AGGCAAGCACATCAAGTGGCTTTTCAATCCCTCCCTGGAAAAATGCCAAAGCCTGCAGCAAGCTGCCATCAGTGTCAGCATCCAGGAGCCAGATCCTTGCGATAGGATGAGGAGACAAGCTCTGGCTCACCGGGAAATCTGTAGGCACGGCAAAGCTTTCAGTCTGCCCCAACTCTGCCTGGCTGCGTGCCTCAGAGGCTCCGGCAGAGAAGAGAGAGGCAGCTGTTGACCCAGAGCTGCTACACCACAGTCTAGCTTTGCCTTTGCCACTTGGACTCCGAGCAAGTTTAAGTAACCGAAAGAAAAGAAAAAAAAAAAAAAAAGAGAGAACACGTATCTTAAAGGGAGAACTACACCGCCTAGAGAGGGAATGCAGCAGTGGGAGCCAAGGGTCCAGGCCTGGCCTGCTCAGCCACCAGAGGCTAGATGAGCCCCTGAGGATCTGACTGACTCAACAGCCATGAATCTCAAATATGAATTAATCAATCAAGGCTCACCTGACACACCTGTGACCCCAGAGGCCATACTTGTTGGCTGTACCTGCCAATGACTTGGGGAGAGGATGATTACAATTGTTAATTAGCCCCACCACCCACTCTAGTTCAGAGAAAGACTTCAGAAAAATAGAAACCAGTAACTTAAAAAAAAAAAAAAATTTCAGGGGTCAAGATTTTTAAAGTTTTTCTACATGCCTTCAGGGAAGCAGTTGGGTTGATGATACATTATGATATAGGCCCATTATATTTTACTTAACTCATTTGATTTCATTTATCCTAGTTTATAACAGGTATTCCAAATAATATGATTACGCATCCTTTTTAAATTTTCATTCCATAAACATCTCCTTCTCCATTAATAAGGCCTTATGTAAATAGATAGGGGAGCCTGCCATCTACAACTCTAATAAAGGATGCCCCTGAGACTCTGTCAGAGATATCATCTGACTTTAATCCATATCTGAAGCCTTGACTCAGGCCTATGCTCCCCTTCTAAAGAGAGTTACTGCAAATAACAATATGAGTTGTCTCAGTCCAAAGGAAAATGAACTATGAGGGTCTTCGATGAACATGAGCCAGAGGTTCAAGAATACAGCTAGCCACTGGGTCCTCAAATAGTTGTAACTGTCCAAGTCTTCTGTCCCCAGCTTCTACCCAGAATCCAACTTGAGCCTTTCCTGTAGAACAGGATGATTCAATGGAGAGGCCAAGGAGTGAAGTCTGCAAGTGACCCAAAACAGTACAAAAATTATGTGTATAAACATGCGGAATTTGTATATATTTATGTGGCTAAGAATGGTTAGGTCAGAATGCCAGAATTCAAATGTTTCCTCTATTACGGACAAATTACTCTCTTAGCCTCAGTATCCTCATCTATAAAATGGGAGCACTAACTATACTCTCTTCACACGGCTAATGTAAGGATTAGGACGAAATGAAGCACTTGACACAGTGCTTGGAACTTTACAAGTCCTCAGTAATCAAGGGATGTTATTGCTGTTATTAATGAGATCTGAGCTGTGGGGACCTTGGAGGTCATCAGACTTCACCTCCTCATTTGACAGATGCTAAAACCAAGGTCTGAAGAGGTTAAAAGATATGCCCAGGGCCACCAGTCAATTAGCAATGGGCCCTTTGGTGCTGCTGTTTTACATGCAGCCATAGTAGGTAACCCTACCAGGCAGTCACTGGTCTCTCAAGGCAACAACCAGTGGATCATCAAGAATGACACCTGCCTGTGCCACATCATAGCATGTGCACAACAAATATTTCTGTAGTGAATGGATGAGGCCAGACCAGAGTGGTGCTTAAGTGTTCTGTGCATGACTGGAGATCATCAGGAAAGTCTACCCAGAGGAGGTGATGCTAAGCTGACTACTAAAGGATGTGTCTACTGAAAAAGAAGGAAAAGGCAATACCAGACAAATGGATCAGAACAATGAGAGCACAGCTCTCTTAGCAGAGGCTAGAGGCTAAACTAAGGAGTTTAAACTGTACCCTGAAAACCATGTAGAGCCACAAAGATTAGAAATAGGAAGTTATAACACCAAATTCATTTAAGAAGCTCTGGCAGGGATTTTAGAGGATTGGGGAAAGGGCAGTCTCCAAGTAGTAAAGAATCTTAAATTTAGTATTTTATAATTAATGCAGAGCTCTTTGGAGAGCAATTTGATAATATCTGTCAAAAATGCACATATTCTCTGAGTTATCACTTCTATTTCTAGAATCTGTCCTCAGAAATCACATGTGTGCAATGACATCTATGTAGAATATTCACTGCATTATTTGTACTGGCAAAGCTTGAATGGGGACTAAATAAGTTGCCATACACCCATATAACAGAATACTATGCAGTAGTTGAAAAAGAGGTGGGCAATTCAGTCTGTAATAATATGGAATGACTTTCAAAATAAGTATGTGAAGAAAACCATTTGTGTGTATTATTTTTAGAGGACACACACACACACACACACGTCTGAAAATTTCTCTGGAATAATGCACAACAAACTGGTAGCTAACAATTGCCTTCAGAGAGGGGAAATGAATGGTTAACAGGGAAAAAAAATTCATTTTGCACTGAATGTATTCCCTTTTAATCTCCTTGAGTGCTGTCCCTTGTGTATGCATTACCTATTCAAAGATAAAATATAAAATAAAATCAATGTTGCAAGGCCTTCCAATAGACTACCTGTCTCCTCCCTCTATATACTGACATTCAAATTAACCTGACTGCTCCCTCTGCCAGGAATAGAGTTACTTTCAGAGCTCAACAGAGGGTATTTTCTTGGAGGAATTATTTTCTGATGCTTCACACCATGCCCACCTCCAGTAGGAAAAAACCCCTTCTCACTCCCAAAGTGCCTTTAACACCCTAATCTGACTGCACCTCTAACAGGTTATTACATCTATTTGTTTATCTGTCTCACCTTACTAGACTCAAAGTTTCTTGAAGGCAGGAACTGTGAATTAGTCAACTTGGAATCTTCAAAAGCCAGCACAGGGCCTGGCACCTGACGGCTGGTAGCAAATGTTTGCCAGACTCAGGAATACTATGGGGAGGAGACAGTATGGAACTGGGAAAAAGATGCACACATATGAGCTCCTGTTTTGTTTTGTTTTAAAGAAATAGCTGGCTCCTCCCTTACTGCTCAAGCAGCTACCTGGGCTAAGGGACCAATTCCACCATGAAGCCTAAGACCTGATCAAGTACAGAATAGATGAGGTGACAGAAATGAGGGCTTTGCCAAGAAAAAAGGTGAACAGAGGGCAGTCAATGGAGTGTTTACATGCAAAGCTGGGCCAAGGGTCAGTGCTTTAGAAATAATACAGAGAAAAGCCAATCCCCACAACCTCAGGGTATTGCCCAAAATGGGAGAATCCAGCTGTGGAGAAAGGGTCACACTATATATCTCATCAGTTAAGAAAGGATCTGCTTTGAATACAGAAGGACAAATGGATAGAAGGCAGGCAGGCAGGCCGGCAGGCAGGCCGGCAGGCAGTCCTGTCCTTGAATTGTGGCTTTAGATCAAGTCAAAAGAAAAACACTTTAGAACATATTAAGACTAGGTTTTCATTATCCCTAGAGAAACATGTACACGAAAACTTAAAAAAAAAAAAGAAAAAAGAAAAAAAGAATACATTTCACTTCAGTGTTCCTTTGGTATAGGAGTGACAACTTCCCCTAATTTAAAAAACGTATGATTAAGTAGAGACAGAAAATAAAATGGTGGTTGTCAGGAGGGAAGAATGGGAAGTTATATTGCTTAATGGGTACAGAGCTTCAGTTTTGCAAGATGAAAAAAGTTATGGAGATGGATTGTCATATAACATTTCAAATGTACTTAAGACCACTGTTCTGTACACTTAAAAATGGTTAAGATGATCAATTTTATTTTATGTGTATTTTACCACAATAGAAAAAATTAAAAATTATGATTAAAGAGGAACTGGAACTAAGCTTCATTTTCAAAGCCTGCACTCATCCATCCTTACAAGACATATAACATCTAAAATTGGAAGTGATGAGAGAGAAGAGGGCCAGGGGCTACGAGTTAGTCCCACCTCTGCCACCAACCAGCTGGCTGGTCATGAAGATCCTCTGACTTCCGTGTCCACATCTAAAAAACTCTCTATGGTCTCTCAGAGCCACAGAATTCTCTATGGCATCCAAGCTTCTCTTTACATAAGCCATCTCTCCCTCCAGCGGCCAGCTTTCCCCTCTGAAACCCAGGGTGAGGCATCATGGAAAACCTGCATTCATTCACCTTATTTTCTTTCTTGGGACTAGTGCTGCTGCCCCAATAGAATGTGGTAAAGGGAGACCCCATAAGCTAGACTGTCAGCCCCTTAAGGGCAGGGTCCGGCCTATCCCACCTCTGTGAACCCAGAATACCAAAAGCTGGGTGACTGTGCTCTGCCGAATGTGATGTCATGAACACTCATTTCCTGTCCACAGTGACCCTCCAAGAGGAAGAGCACTGCTCTTAAGCCATGGCTCTGATCTTGAGGAAGCCACTTACCTCATCCCTGCCTATGTTTCTTCATCTGTAAACTGGGGCTGTTGCTTGCTCTGAATCTCATTAGTCTCTAGTGAGGCTCAAAGTGACATAAGAGGGACTGCTCTGTAAATTGGAAAATCTCAGGTCCTTCTATTTACAATCATAGTCCAGAAGCCAAGATAGCATAGGCCTATCTGAGAAATTGCTCATCATAAAATGATGATGACAAGCATGGCAGGCTCATGGTGTTATGGAGAACCTGGAATACGAGCCCAAAGTTCTCATGGTTTGCTTGCTTGTTGTTGTCATAGATGCTTCCAGGTTAACCCAAGAGACTGCTAAGATTAA